ACTCGGGGCTTTAAAGCCTGACTTGTGTAACAAGCTTTTCATATAAAAGTACAGAATGGGATGTGATGACAGACATATAGAGAGGGAAAAAAATCCCATAACCATTATTAAATTGTCTTTTGAGGTCCGAAAAGTTTTCAATGCAGGATAAATCCTGTATAAAATATACTTTGATATGACATTAGTTACTGCATTAAGGTAACCAATATGAGCTACCTGCTGAGTAGCGGAGAGAAGAGCCACAGATTAGACATGATGAATCTGAGAGGCAAACCAAACTACAAAAGAAAATAAGAGAAATGGTTTTCACATATACAGGTCAGTATTTAATCAAATGTGGCCTGCAAAATCCTGCTTGTAGCATTTTACCTTATGGGCCAGGTGTTCAAACGTGCCACGCTCAGGACCATAACCAAACAGCCTGGGCATTGGATTTTCCTCCAATCTGGGAAAAGATATTAATAGATAGCATTACGTACAATAAATCTTCATCTAAATACATTTAGCTTAGTCTAATACTGCCGTCATGCAGCTGGTTTGAGAATAACTTGGATCCATCTTTAATCTTTTTTAATTGTTTTACTATTTAAAAAAAAAGTTAGGTGTTTCTGCTTGCCTTTTGACTGCTGACGCCAAGATGCCAATGCTGCTCTCTCTGGGCGGCATGGATGAATGTCCAGGAGCACTGCTTACACTCAGCTTTACTGTGGCCTGACCTTTCTCACTGATACCTATTCTACAAAAACACACACAGGGCAAATATTACACACTAATTCAATTACTAAATGACTCTTCTAGTAGAACAGCTCAAAATAGCAGTCTCACAGGGCAGCAGGTCCATCCAGGCCACTTATGACACCATCCAACACTGCCAGGCCTTCATCTAAAACATACTGGAGCTTCACCCCCCGACTCTTCAGGAGCTTCACGATATTGGCTGCCCCGTGTAAACCATTCACCTGACAAAACCATATAAATAAGTGCATATAAACAAGTATTCTAAACGACAACTAGTCAATTCACTTGAGACGGACCTCCTCATCGTGACCCAAGCCAATGTAGAAGCTTCTCCGAGGAGTGTAACCTCGTTCCAGCAGGTATTCCAATGCCTGAAGGATCCCCTTCAAAACACACATTGTTACAGTTAGCATCAGGTTGGACTGAGCAGATGTGAAAAAGGATGCAGTGCTGATTCACTGTACCATCACAGACTGTTTATTGTCGATGGTTCCTCGTCCATAAATGAAGCCATTGATCTCTTGAGCAGAGAAAGGAGGAGCATCCCACCCATCCGCCTCATCGGCCGGCACTACATCAATGTGTGCCAGCAGCATGTACGGCTCCAGATCAGGCTCGCTTCCTGGTACCGTCAACAGGTGGCTGTAGTTTCCCACCATCTCATGCTGGACCAGGCTGGATGAGAAGATCTTTGGGAAGACTGAGAAAGGAAATATTCTTAAATAACACTCAATACAATATCTTATTACTATTAAATGACAAGTAGCTGATTTACATGAATACAGTTAATTAGTAAGTAGTAGCAGTTAGTTTTTTTTACGGTTAAAATTTATAAACGATGTCAAAGGAAGTGCTTTACCTTTAAAAAAATACTTTTGAATTTTATATATGTTTGTGGCTTTTGTTATCCTGTTTCCAAATTTGTAAAATTTTAAAGCCTTGTATTATATATTACAATGTTTTCAAGCAATAAACATTGAACATAAAAATGAGCTTGTTTTAATTATATAATGCTAATTATTAAATATATATGTAATATATTTACAGTATATTAAATTATTACATATTAATGATATTCTAGGTTAAAAAGTACTAATGAAAAATACACCAGAATGCAAGTAATAGGGTTGCAGATTTAGCCTAAATTATACTTGTCAAATGCTGTCCAATCTAAAATGACTGTACAATTTGAGAAAACTTAATATGATTTTTTTTTTGGCTTTTCATTCTGCAGAAAAGGTCCACATTATGTCACTTCATGTGTACAATTTTATAAAAATGCCTAATTTTTTGTAGTGGGGGAGATGAAGTGGTAACAGGATTGAACTCGAAATGCAGGACACAGCTAATTAGGTTTTTGGTCATTAAAATTAGTTCATAATTAAAATATTGTGGTCGTGACCTAAAAGATAATGGGGCAACAGTTTGCGGTTGCTGCTGTGTAAGGCATGGTGTCTCACCCTTCCTCAGCAGCCCGTCAAACTCACGCAGCGCGCTCGTGTTCACATTTGTCTCGGTAAATGACACAGTGGGAATCTGAATGGCCGCTATGAAAGAGACGAAAACAAGACATTAACATTTGTAATATCTACAGCAGCAGTCTACGCATGTTGACAGCACATCCTTTATCTCCGTCTTCCTGATCCATCCATGCACGTCACGTGATGAGCTGCATGTCAGAGAGGTGTTCTTCGTAGTATTTCTTCGTTGTTTGTTACCTTTGAAATTAGCCAGCAGGTTCTTTCTCTGTTGTGGACTTAAATGAAGAGAAATGGCTGTTGTATTTTCCCATTTTCCCAACTGAAGCCCCGCGTCCACATCAAATGTAAACGTCCTAACTGTGGCAACAAGGAACAAAACTGTAATCGAAAATATGACACTAAACAGCAGCACTTTGAGAAACTTAAATAATTTCCACCGAGCGCTATGGCCTGTCATGTTTCAGGAAGTGCAAAATACAGTCATTTCATGGCCAGAGTTCATGTTTATTTAATACCTCACCGAATACGCAGTAACGCCCTCTGCTGCTGTGGATTAGAATCGCATGTAAAAAAAAATTTTTTGTAATATTATTTATATTATTCAAGTATTTATAAATATTTTGAATTACGTTTTATTTTTTATTTTTTTTTACCGTTTTCTTTATAATTTTTATTGAAGTTTTAGTCATTTTGTTGTGCGCTACGTTTTTTACATTTTATATATATACAGTATACAGTACACATTTTAATTTTTTAGTAATTTTAAAATATATTTTATTTATAAATACATATAAATAATATATTTTATTTCTGTTTTATTTCAGTTAACAAAATATTTTAAATAGCTTAAATTAATAATAACAATTAATCGATATTAACAAATTTTCTACATTACAATTTAGAAAAAAACATTCAGTTATGTGGCCATTTGATTTGCACAATAATAATCACCCGTAGGCCAGAATTATAGATGACTGGTAATACAAAATGCATTGCAGACATTAGGAGAAAAGCAACAGGGAAGTAAATGAATGACTGTTTGTGCATGAGATTTGGGTTCCTTCTGAAAGGCTGCACTTAATATGAGACATATACCTCCCGGTTTCACAGACATGGCTTAAGGCTAGTCCCAGACTAAAATGCATGTTTGAGCTGTCTCGACTGAAAATATCTTGCTCTGACACATCTTAAAATATGTCAGTTCCATTGCTCTGCCTCAAGATGCACACATGTAACGTTTTCTTCTGAGGCATTTTACACACCAATTCTTAGTGTGCTGCTTAAATATCTTAATTTAACTAAGGCCTAGTGCTGGCTTAAGCTAAGCCCCGTCTGTGAAACCGGGCCATAATAGCCTTAAAATGAGGCTCAGCTCATTATTCAAACTTGTGTAATTAAATTATAGTATAATATGAAGCACTAACACTGCATAGACTACCACTTAAAAACAGTGCCTCTTTAATATGCAGTAATGTTGTTGATAATGTTGTGAACATTATTTTAGAATAATGTATCTTTTTTTTTTTCAGGTCTGCACTTTCTTTCAAGGTTACTTTTGATGCAACCAAGGCAATTATTGACTAGAGTCTGACACCAACGAGAGCAATGAGACAAAGGTAAAATACATAAGGTTATAAACTACATAAAGGCTATGTCGTTTTGAAGAAGTCTTTATCTGCTCTCTGTAACTTGATGACTTTGCAGGATAGATTTGTAGGGCAACTATCCTCTCAAACAGATCCATAAACATTTGGATACTGGTCCTTTTTATGTAATGTTTGAATTATTAATCATTGACAGCTTGACAGAGCAAAGTCAAAAATATAAACTTTGACATACAGAAGAAATATTACATAAAAATGCAATAATCTGTGTCCTAAGATTGTCTATTCAGTGAATAGGAGCAGTGGTCTGTGTAGATAAACGTGCAAACCAGCTGAGCTGATGGCCTTCATTCACAGAGAATCTCTGCATGTGCTGCGACTGGCCTCAGAACTAACCTCGAGTTACTCAGTACTAACAAAATAGCTGGGAAACAGCATTTGAATATTTTTTTTCAATAACAAAAATCTTGAGATAACTGAAATATTGGAAGGAGTATTTTGCACAGACAGAAGATGCATAGGTTACCCTTTTAAACGTTAAAAACTAAAACAGCTTTAAAAAGAATTGCAATCACTGTGGTTTTGCATGAAGACAAGAAATGTTACTTATCTTATTACAATTTCCATTGGTATGGCGTGAGTAACCTTGTGATTTGTATTTTAATATAGCAGAATGTTGACTCACCCAGGGAAAACTAACTAAAGATACTGTAAAAAAAGAAATTTTTATCAAGAAAAAAACTTTTTTTATTATCCATTATGTAATTTTACACAATTTCAACAAGCAAATTAAGAAAATATATTTACAGTAACTTTCCAAAGTTTGGGGTTAGTAAGATTTTGTAATAGTTTTGAAAGAAATCTGTTGTATACAGCAAGGCTGCATTTATTTGATCAAACATACAGTAAAACCGTAATATAGTCAAATATTAGTACCATTTAAATTAATTAATTTCTAATTAATTTTTTATTAATTTCCAGTCTTCAGTGCCACATGATCCTTCAGAAATCATTCTAATATGCTTATTTGCTGCTCAGGAAACATTTCTTTATAATAAAATTGAAGTCAGTTGTGCTGCTTATTATTTTTGTGGAAAACGTGATACTTTATTTTTCAGGATTCTTTGATGAAAAGTTCAAAAGAACATTTATTTGAAATACATATCTTGTGTATCATTATAAATATGCTTGCTGTCACTTTAGATCAATTTAATGCATCCAGCTGAATAAAAGTGTTAAATTCTTTCCAAAAAATTCTTACTGCCCCCAAACTAAGTTCATTTGCTCTCATTAGAACTTCCACAGAATTCCTATTTATTTTAGGTGCGAGGTCCTGGCAAGTTCCTGATGTCACTGTTCTGCATGAGCTGGAAGTAGAACAGCACAATCTCTTCATAGTTCTGGATGGAGATTCTCTCGTTCACACCGTGAAATCTAAAGGGAAGTATAAGCTGTTTAATATTTTGTTGTTTTTACAGTACATGAGCCAGTATGTCGCTTCAGCATTTCCGTGTGTCCTACCTCGCAGAATCTCCAGGTTTGTACCATGATGGGGCAAAACGATAAATGTCCGGAGACAGTTCTGTGTAGTGACGGCTGTCAGTGTTCCCCACGCACATACCTGTGAGAGGAAATCATAGAGCTGCTTTGTTGACAAGACTAAGAGTGGGAGAAGCTCTTCATGGGTCAATGATGTATATAAGGGCCACTTAAACCCCTTGAGCTCTTACTAGAGAGAGCAAACATGCAGTATTTAATGGCACAATGCTGAAAGCCTTACCAGGAGACACAGTGACCTCAGGAAAAATGTCATGCACTGTTTTCTTTATGATCTGGTACCCGAATGTATCCTCATCATACGAGCTGATGGGCAGCGGGTCGAATCCACTGACAAACTCTACCTTCACACGCTCATCAGATATGGTGGATTCAATCAGCTTTAGAACCTAGAAAGGAAATAGGAAATCAATCAATGAACTTTTTGCTTTGGTAAAATGTAAGACTTTTATTAAAGTTTGAAAATCTGCCACTCACACTGAATATATTAAAAGTAACCAACAGCAACATCCTATCAACATAATATTTGCCTAATTAATTCTGACTGGTGCTCTTGACTTTTAAATAACTATTTCTATTCTTTTTCTATTTATTTATTTATCTATCAGTAAAGATCAACATTATACAATTTGAAATCAACATTATATAAAAAGAGATGGGTATAAAACTACTTAAAACATTAAACAAAAATGATAAAGAAAGAAAAAGAAAATTAATAATACAAGACCTCTCTCCCCCACTTCACTTCCTGTCAATTCTAAACTGTCCTATCCTCAATAAGTCAAAAAATGGCAAAAAAAAAATAAAAACAATACATAAAACTAGAAGCATAAAACCAAGTAAAATACATAAAGTAGATCATTTAAATAAATATTTTATAATCACACATTTTTCTTAAAATTTAAGACTTCTTAAATAACTCTTAATAGTTTTTTATTATTCAGAGAGTGGAGAGCCTGGCTTCATAAGACCATAAAATAGATGTTATCAGTATATTTCTGTAACTGTAGGTTTAACTAAGGGTTGCGCTCAAACTTCCTTTGTTGTCTTCCAAGCACTGGTATTTTCTTTAGGTAAAGCAAATCTTTTTAAATGTATGAACTAATTAAATGTGCTAGTGCTGACCTCTCACCTCTTGCAGTGTCTGGGAAGAGTGAATGCGGAAATTGACAAAGGCCTCAGCATATGCTGGCATTACATTAATCTGTCAGAGAGAGGTAGGCAGGGGGGAACAGTTGGATCTCCATTAATGCTAAGAGTAATTTTATGTGAATATATGTATAAACAGAAAGTAAATGATGTGAATGGCAGCCCACCTTAACACCAGAGTTAAACATTGTGACGGCAGTTGTTGTCCTCACAAATGCATTTGTGTCAGGCTGTCCTTCCAAAACACTGCACATGTGATTTGAAAGTACCACGGATCAAAGCATGTACTCATTAGTTACTGTAGTGAGAAAAAACATGGCCTACCCGCTGAGCAGCGAAGAGAAGAGCCACAGATTAGACATGACCATTCTGTATGGCCAGCCAAACTAGAAGGCAAAAGAGAAAGTATAAATAAAACAATTTATTATTTGTAGGAGTGTCATAAGCATTTTATATCTATCATGTTTGTTTTATTACCTTATGTGCCAGATGCTCAAATGTGGCACGCTCTGGACCATGACCAAAAAGATTGGGCATCCGGTTCTTCTCCAACCTGGGTAATTTTTAGCCAAAACACAACGAATTACTTACATAATGACTTCATGTATGATTTATGTATTCATTAATTTATGCATTTGTTAAAAATATTTATTTGATTTCTTATCAGTAAACATCAACATAATACATTTAGAAAAATGTAACATTATACAAAAATGGACATAAAATTACTTCAAAATCAGATACAAAGGAAAAGAAAAATTCAAGGCAGAATGAATAATATATAAAATGTATAAAACAAATTCAAATACATACTTTTCAAAGCTCACAAATATTTCTTAAAAGTTTAATATTTCTTTAGTAAAATTAGCTTGTTTATTTAGAGTGGAGAGCCTGGCTTCATTTAATGAGACCATATGTTTTTAATAGTAAATTTGCATTTATGAATATGAAATATTCATTTTAATTATAAAAAAAAAAAAATCACACAATGTAACTAAATAAGTAGAATGGCAAAATAAATGCAAAGAAGATTCATGGTATTTTACTTTATAACATGCTAGAATACAGTGTAATACAATTTTAAGAGTAAGATTTTATTTTTTTTATTTTTTACATAATGTGTGTGCCAGATGGACATTGATTATGGCTTTTTTCATTGGGTTTATTCCATTCTGTCTTGCTTTTTGTAAATGCAAGATCATGTCAACTATGAACGGACCCATTAGAGGTGCAAAAAATATTTAAATTAAGATCATGTTCACAGTTTTCATATTACAGTAAATATTTTTTTCTTGCCTTGTAACTGCTGAAGCCAAGATGCCAATGCTGCTTTCTCTGGGAGGCATGGATGAATGTCCTGGAGGAGTGCTGGCACTCAGCTTTACTGTGGCCTCACCTTTCTCACTCACACCAATTCTACAAAAACACACAAGACATAAATCACACACGAGTTCAATATCTAAATGATCATATTAATGCAGTAAAACGGAGGTCTCACAGGGCACCAGGTCCGATCAGGCCATCTACCACACCATCCATGATCGTGAGACCTTCATCTAAAACATACAGAAGCTTCACCCCACGACTCTTCAGGAGCTTCACGATATTCACAGCACCTTGTGGGCCACTGATCTGAGAAAACCAAATTAACAGCTGCATTAACACAAGCTTTTTGCTGAGATTTTAGCAGATAAACTATGATTAGAACTGAGACGGACCTCCTCATCGTGACCCAAGCCAATGTAGAAGCTTCTCCGAGGAGTGTAACCTCGTTCCAGCAGGTATTCCAATGCCTGAAGGATCCCCTTCAAAACACACATTGTTACAGTTAGCATCAAGTTGGACTGAGCAGATGTGAAAAAGGATGCAGTGCTGATTCACTGTACCATCACAGACTGTTTATTGTCGATGGTTCCTCGTCCATAAATGAAGCCACTGAGCTCTCGAGCAGAGAAAGGAGGAGCATCCCACCCATCCGCCTCATCGGCCGGCACTACATCAATGTGTGCCAGCAGCATGTACGGCTCCAGATCAGGCTCGCTTCCTGGTACCGTCAACAGGTGGCTGTAGTTTCCCACCATCTCATGCTGGACCAGACTGGATGAGAAGATCTTTGGGAAGACTGAGAAAGGAACAATTCATTATTAACCTTTAATGACACTATATTTTACAAATAAAGCATGCAAAAATAATCCTTAAATCATCACTTTCTCACCCCTTCTCAGTAGCTGGTCAAACTCTTGCAGGGCAGTTGTGTTCTGTTCTGACTCTGAAAATGACACTGTGGGAATCTGAACTGCCACTGTGGGAAATCAAATAAAAAAAGAATAAAAGAAATAAAACAAGAAAATCTGACCATGTTTATATGTACATCATTTTCTGATTAAGGTCAATATTCTGATTAAGCCTTTATTCTGAAATGAGATTTTCATAAGGTTTTTAGGCCCTGAATTCATTTATTTTATTCAGACAAAATCACAATAATTAGCAAAAAACAAAAGCACTTAACTTAGCCTACTGTATATTTCATACACAAATTTCTAATGACTAAACATTATCATAACATTATCTAAACATATCAGCAACAAAACTTTGCTAAAAAATTTGTTGTTTACAATTTGCTATATGCTATAGTTTATACTTTATTAGCAAGTAAAAGCCCTTTTGGAATAATTGTAAAAATGTCCACCTTTAGGTCATGCTGATTTATGTATTAAAAAAATCATAAACAAAATAACTTTTAAATTGTTAGTAATATTTCAAGATGAACACTCGCTGTACTGACACAACTTAGGTTTACTTCATAATCTCTCTATCTCTCTATAAATTAGAAAAATCATGTTAAAATGTATCAGATAGTTCAGTGTTTTAAGGAACATTTATTTGATCCCTCAATTATCGTTGTATTGCATTGCATTATAGGTTTCTCCCCCATCAATAAAAAACCAGGCTGTACAGGGTTAATACAGGCATGCAAGCTGTTTTACTCCAATTTCTTATAATCTGAATATTGACCCAAAGAAGTTATGGTAATCAGGGCATTTAATTTAATATTTTAATTTAGCATTGTCTGAAAATAACCAAATTCCAATTCTTTACCTATTTATTATTACTTTCTCCATCCAATTTATGAAGCATTTAAATTCCTAAACAAGTATAATTTTGATATAATTAGGCTTTTCTTACCTTTCAAATTTCCCAGCAGCTGCTTTTTCTGTTCTGGACTTAAAGTGGGATAAATTGTTGTTGCATTTTCCCATTGTCCAAGTTCTGTGTTTACTTTAAATGTAAATGTCCTACCGATCACAACAGCAAATAAAATTAAAACTGAAAGTACAAGGATTAACAGCAGTATTCCAATAAACTTCAAAATTGTCTTCTTAGTGATTTTGGTCTTCATCTTTCAGAAGTTCAGGAGGAATGACAGTCATCTGCATGATCAGGGTTCACATTTTTTATTGCCTTATTGACAACTGGTCATGCAACATAAGAGGCCTGGGCTGGTGTGGAGCCAATCACAAATGTAACAAGCAGTTTAGATGTGTTTTTTTTTTAACCACCTGCTGGGGTTTGAATAATCAGCAACAGAGATATTTAACAATATTATCAATCATTAGATATTGAATAAATGAACAATTTGAAGTAATCTGCAGAAGATTGAGCTGCATTACACCACATATTTGTAAGGTCATATTTCATAGAGAAAAATCAGCTGTAATTCAAATGAAACCGTTCAAATTAAATGTTTTCTGATATTGAATCTTTTTAAAGGTTCACACAGTTCAGCAATTAATAAGCTAATGCAATAATTTCCCCATTTTTGGGCTCTGAATTGAAGGACAATGGGCCCTATTTACACAAATTTGGCATCTAGAGACCCTCTTGGTGTTAATATAAATTAATTTACATAGGTGTATCTTTATTAAAACAGAACAATCTTAGGAGAACAAATTTATTTACTTTAAATAAAACAAACAAAAGGTACACATTAAAAACCGCAAGATATCATATGACTCATTAGTCCAGCTGTATAAGACTGTAAGAGAAGAATGAGATTGTTTCTGTGGGAGTTCAAATCTCAAATAAACTGTATAAAATACACATCTATGGTAAAAGATCAATCAGAGAAAACACCATGCACAGGATTAGCCAACTACATATCTCATCAACTCAAGTTTAACATCCTATATTGTCTTTGAAAGCAAGTGAATGCAGGTGTTCTGATGTAGCTCTGATGTTGCATTCAGTCCAATCACAGTTTCCTCTGATACCAGTTTAAAAATATAATCGTCTGAAGGACACTTGGCTGACTAGAGCCGGAGGTAAATTTGAATGAACCTTCTTTGGCATCCGTGTTGCACACCTAAGCTGTAGCGTCAGTGGTGGATTAGTCCTCTGAGGTGTATATGAGAGCAGCTTCTTGCAGACCTTCAAGCAGAGCAGTGAAAGGATTGGAGAGCGGCTCCTCCATGGATGCGTAGATGAGGTACAGCAGGCAGACCACCAGGAGGAAGACCACGATCTGAACCCACAGAGGCACCAGACGCTGCTGAATCTCCTGCCTCTCCAGTGTCGTGGGACTCAGTAGTGGCATTTCAGGGTATTTAAATCGCACAGGGCGGCCCGCAGCTCCCTTTATAGGCCGTCTCTTTGTAGCACTGCAGGCAGAACAAAAAGACCTTAGAACTAATTTACAATGGTGAATTGAAATATAGGCATGCGAGTCCATAGTTTGTGAACAATGGTAGTATTTAGTTATGAGAAAAGTATCACAGATGGTACTCACTAGATTCCAGTGGGAGTTTTGGCAGTGTCAGGAAACATCTCCGAAAGAACATCCATCACAGGTTCCTAATGGCCAGAAGAAACCACACAAAACAGATGGAATAAGAAAACATACTTTAGATGTGTGGTCTACAAATGAAAGAGGAAGAGAATGAAACAGACATCACAAAAAAACACAAAATATGAGGGAGGATGGAGTGAAAAAGTATAGAGAAATACCAGCCCAGACTCATGAAAAGCTGATTTGAAAGTCATGTGGAAAACACAAATCACAGTGCAAGAGTGAAGCTAAATTTTAAGTTGAGTGTCACATGGTCCTTCAGAAATCATACTAACATGCTGATTCGCTGCTCAAGAAACATCAATATCGAAACCCTGATACTTTTTTTTTTTAGAATTTTTTGATTAGTAAAGAGTTCAAATTAGCAGCTTTTATTTGAAAAATAAATCTTCTGTAAATGTCTTTACTGTCACTTTTAATCAATTTAATGCATCTTGAATAAAAGTTAATTTCTTTCAAAAACAAAGTCTTCCTGACCCTAAACATTTGAATGATGTATACTAATGTTCCTTTAGAATTATATTTTCATGACAATAATGCTGGGTACACACCACAAGATAATCGGGCTGATTTTGGGCCGTTTTCTCTCCTTCCGACAATCCTAGGTAATGTGCCGATTATCTTGGTGGTTCTAAAGATTATCTTATCAGATTTTCCTGTGGTGTGAGGTGTGTTAAGAGTGACTGAATCTGCTTGGAAGAACGTCGGAGGCGCCCCAATCGCGAAACGTAAATATTCAACATGATGATGAATATTTACGATCAGAAATCCTGATGTGTGGGGGAACATCGCAGCACACCACACACTACAGGAGCAAAACGGTTAAATCTAGGATTTTTTGTCCTCATGTTTGTGGTCTCTCACATTTTGAAAATCTTATAAGATTTTAAAAATATTTTAGTGTGTACCCAGCATTAGATGAGACAAAAATGTGGAGTGCACTGCTCCTGGAGAGCTTCCATCCAGCAGAGTTTAACTCCAACTCTAATCAAAAACATCCAAACCAGCTAATATAAGATAAGTGTCCAGGATTAATTGAAAATATCAGGCAGTGTACTGTGTATATTTATTATGTATATATATAAATACACACACATATAGTATATATTTTGAAAATATTTACATGCAGGCCTATATACATTTATATATTTATATTAAGTTGGCTTGAAAACGCCATCTTACTGAAATCCTATTTAAACTTCTTCTGAGACCAAATTTTAAAGTGTATCTCCTCCTAGACCTTTAAAGCTACAACCACCAAACTCGGCCCAGACCTTCAGACTGGTTTTAGCAGGTCAGGCTGGTTTTCAGCTGGGTTTTTTTTTTACTGAATCAACTGGTTTTAGCTGGATTAGCATAGAAACATGCTAACAAAATTCTAGTAACTTGCTAATCATGCTAACAACATGCTAATCATGCTAGTAACTTGCCAATCAAGCTAACAAAATGCTAACACCATGCTAATCATGCTAGAATCATGCTAGTAACTTACTAATCATGTTAATAACATGCTAGTAACACCCTAGCAACCACCCTGAGTACCCTAGTAACCACACAGCAACACCCTAGCAACCACATAACAACACCTTAGCAACCCCCCCGGGTACCATAGCAACCACCTAGCAACACCTTAGCAACCACTCTGGGTACCATAGCAACCGCATAGCAACACCCTAGCAATCACCCCAGGTAGCCTAGCAACACCCTAGCAACCACTCTGCATGCCCTAGCAACCGCATAGCAACTGCCCTGGGTACCTTAGCAACTGCATAGCAACACCTTAGCAACCACCATGGGTACTATAGCAACCACATAACACTGTAGCAACCAACCCAGGTACCCTAGCAACCACCTAGCAACACCTTAGCAACCCCCCCGGGTACCATAGCAACACCTTAGCAACCACTCTGGGTACCATAGCAACACCCTAGCAACCACTCTGCGTGCCCTAGCAACCGCATAGCAACAGCCTAGCAACGGCCCTGGGTACCTTAGCAACTGCATAGCAACACCTTAGCAACCACCACGGGTACTATAGCAACCACATAGCAACACCATAGCAACCAACCCAGGTACCCTAGCAACTGCATAGTAACACCTAGCAACCACCCTGAGTACCTTAGCAACCGCATAGTAACACCCTAGCAACGGCCCTGGGTACCTTAGCAACTGCATAGTAACACCCTAGCAACCACCCCAGGTAGCTTAGCAAAACCCTAGCAACCACTGGTTACCACCTTGAGTTCAGTAACAACCACATAGCAACACCATAGCAACAGCCTGGGTACCATAGCAACCCCACAATAGCATCCTAGCAACCACCCAAAGTACCTTAGCAACCACATAGCAACACCCTAACAACCACTGGTTACCCTAGCATCCGCATGGCAACACCTTAGCAACCAACCCAGGTAGCCTAGCAACCGCCTAGCATCCACCAAGAATACCCTAGCAACTGCATAGCAACCTTTTAGCAACCACCATAAATACCCTAGCAACCAGCCCGGGTACCTTAGCAACTGCAGAGCAACAGCCTAGCACCCACCCCAAGTACCCTAGCAACCACATAGCAATACCTTAGCAACTACCCCAGGTACCCTAGAAACACTCTAGCAACCACCCTAGAAGCCACCCCAGGTACCCTAGCGATCTGTTTTTCTGTGTTCTTCTGATAGACTGTATTGCCTTCAAAACATTCTAACTTTAATCTTTAAAACTATTTTAAGTATTTCAAACTACTTCAAAACTAAAAACCTTCAAACTTCAAGCTTTTAAAACTTTTACAAACTTTCTGGCTAGGCTTTTTCAAGCCAACTTAAAGTTTGTCTACGAACTTTACTATCTAGTTATATTTTATATTACATATAAATATATTTAATATATAAACAATTTTTCTTAAAGGGTCATGAAACCCCAGACTACTTTTTCTGAGATTTTAGCAGAGGTGTTTGTGTTGCACATCATAGAAGACAATGTTAGCATTTTAACTGTTGGGAGAAAACTTTCGACATGCTAGTAACTTGCTAATCATGCTAGCAACTTGCTAGTAGCATGCTAATCATGCTAGCAACATGCTAATAACATGTTAATCTTGCTAGTAACTTGCTAATCATGTTAACAACATGCTAGCAACATGCTAGTAACTTGCTAATCATACTAACGACGTGCTAGTTACTTGCTAGTCAGGCTAGCAACATGCTAGTCACTAGCTAATCATGCTAGTCACTTGCTAATCATGCGAGCAACATGCTAGTTACTTGTTAATCATGTTAACAACATGATAGCGACATGCTAGTCATGCTAGCAACATGCTAGTAACTTGCTAATCATGCTAGCAACATGCTAGTCATTTTGTAATCATGCTAACAACATAATAGCGACAAGCTAGTAACTTGTTAATCATGTTAGCAACATTTATTTATTTAGTCATTTATTAGACGCTTTTATCTAAAGCGACTTACAAATGAGGACAACATGCTAGTAACTTGTTAATCATGCTAGCAACATGCTAATTACATGCTAGTAACTTGCTAATCATGCTAGTCAGTTGCTAA